TTACTTAAAGTGCAAATTGAACGAGCAGTTGGAGAAGGAGCCACCAGAAATGATGCCATGTGCAGCGTTAGTCGACATATTTTCTTGAACAAAAATGTTCTCCTGGACATTTGTGGATGTGCTTGAATGAATTGCTTTGGATACTGTCTCCAAGGGAGAATGATTCACTTCTGCTAGCGGGTTAATGGCGACTTGATGGTCAGGTCTGCAGAAGTTGATGAAATCTGTAATCGCCGAAGACATATTCTTGAACTGCTCAAACGTTGGACGATCGTTGTAGGATTCCAAACTTGCATTGCTTTTGTGGCCCGTGACTGCTCTGACGTGGCGAGTTTTCATATCTTTAGAAGACAAAATATTTACGTTGGTCCACCTGACGCAGTGATTTGTGAAAGGAGGATCGATACCAGCTCGTAGGCGCATATTCTTCATCATGCTGTTGATCGTGTTATGGCCTAGAGGAAGTGTTGAATACAAAATGACATCAGAAGACCGTTTAAATTTAGCACCAGTTAAAGGCTTCTGAAAGAGTGCTTCACATTTTGGATGTAAATGGGACAGGTAAACCTTCATTACCGCTACTGGACAGTTAGCAAGCCCTTTGCCTTCAAACATTTTACCATCAGATAGGTTGGTGGTGCCGTCTAGACCACCTTGGTGATTTTTGGTTGAAAAGACTCCTCCTGGTGTTTCTCTGTTAAGCTCAAAATATTCCAGGCCAGAATTTGGGATTTTGGAGAGCTTTAGGCTCGATTTTGTCAATTGTGCTGGTTTTTCCTTCCTCTTCGACCAAAGTAGAGGGTTATAAAAAACCACGCTGTTTGCTGCAGCTTTTGTGGATCGAGACATCTTGCATCTACTAGCTCACCAGCTTCGTAGAGCTTTGAAACTGCTTCGGTTGTTAGTGCGGGTTTGTGGACTGTAGAAAAAATTTGACCTGGCTTGCTCAGCATTTTCAGAAACGAATTTAGAGCTTTGTTCGCTTCCGTGAACTGGCTGTCGCTTATTATCGAAAATGGCTTGTTGTGTGGCTCGTTGCGCAAGTGCCGATCAATGGCGGCTCTGATTGAGGTAAGCGTTGCTTTATTGTACTAACCTCCATCCTGTTTTCTTGCAGACATAAAATTTCCGCAAGCACTTATTTAACTCCTCTTTGTTCATCTCTTCTATATCTGTGGTAAATTCGTCTTGCTGGGAAAACCAATCTACAAAGAATTTACTCATATTGTAACAAATTTTTGGTGTGAAGAGTTATGAATATCACTCAAACTTATTGGCAGTTGTCAGCAAAATAAAACCCGAAACACTTTTTAACACTTTGGAGTCTTCTCTTACCTTTAAAAACTTTCAGTCCATTCTTAGTTGCCTTTTTTGTATTCTCAGGCACAGCCTCGTCTTGTATTTGTAAAATTTCTGCTTCTGAAACTTGAGCGAAACGCGAGTTTACGCCCGCCATTTTGTTTTTGTTTTGAAGATCAGGAATTACGCATTATCCACTCGCTCGGAGGCGAATATTGTTGAATAGCCCAAGATAGCGAACCAATCAGATTGCTTAAAAGACTAAGACCACTGAGTGTGTATATACTAAAGATAGATAGATATATTTATCTTGCTCAATTCTGCATACTATGATACAGATATAAGATCACCATTTTTTGGCTCGTAAATACTGCTTGAAGGATCTGGTTGATTTTCCTTCTCAGACCAGGAAGTTGCTTTCTCAACATACAATTAACTCTAGAAATCGCATACATACAAACATACATACATACTTTATTTGAGTACAAGGGGCTGCCAGAGGCTGATTTGGACCTACTAAAGTCCAGGTAATTAAGAAAAATAAATAAAGATAGCATACAGAGAAGAAATAAAAACTATTTACAAAATTCAATTGAGATGAACTTAACAATACTATTCAATTATTTCATTTATTAATTTTAAAATAGAGCTAAATTTATATTAAAAACAGTTAAAATCCTTTGATTTCATTGCAATTACTGATGCTTCTTTCTTAAAAGAAAAGGCCTCCAAGTCAGCTTTGATTTTTTCATAGAGATTTTAAACCTATTTACATTGTCAGGAACATTGCTAGTTTTGTTTAAAAAGTTTCATACAACAGGTCTTCTGTACCATAAGGAGTGTCTACGTAGTTCGGACCTGGGCCTTGGAATAACCGTTTGGTTGACTGCACATAAAGATCTAACAGAGACTTTCTTTGAAAACAGATCGTCAGGCAAAAAGGATTAAGAGTCAAAATAAACTTTTGCATAAATATAAGGACAGACTTCTTGTTTTAATACCTTCCTAAACACTTTACACTTCATGAGTAGAGCAAGAAACACAATAACGAACTGGTTTTTGTTCTCTCTCCAGCGGTTGTCCATTTGCAGATTTAACTTGTCGGGAATGTAGTCCATTGGTCTTCATGTTCTCAACACCCCATTCATAGGGTAAGTAGCTTTGTGCGGCCATTGGAAGACATCCACAAATGCCAAGCATTCTTTTCCATGGTTCTGAACGCCAGTAAGATGTGTGCGTAACTTCCAAGCACCACTGAGTGATTTGGTGGTACTCATCATGCAGGAAGTAGCAGTTTACTTTGGTCCATTCCATAAAGAATAACAGAAGCATGTCTTTTCGCTCCATTGGAATCCCTTGCTTTTGCTCTATGATGATAATATTATATATTATATAACATTGTCTTTCACACTAGAAAAGCCATAAACGCTTTTCTTATTAGTGAATTCTTAATTAATGGATTGTTTGTTTCTGTAAACTTGTTTAACCTATGGAGACAAATAAAAGTGACTACCACTGCTAATTCAAATGAACTATATTATCTAAAAAAAAGTAGCTTTAAGGCTAGTAATAACCAGGAACAGCCTGGTCAGTTTCAATGTTGTTTCTGAAAACTATGCATATGTGAAAATCCCAAATGTTATGATAATATTTAACTGATATCTACAATCACTTTATTTATATCATTCTAATCACGTAAGTACTCAAATTTGAAGGTCATTGTGATACTTGTAGAGCTTGTCATGGTTATCTCAGCATACTTTGTCTGTAGTTTTCTTTTGTCATCTTTTTGAACTGTGGATACGTAACACTTGGTGAAGCGTTGAACCTACCAATAACAATACAATGATATTGTCATCGATCCATCTATTTGATTACGGAAATACTCCACTGTCAATATGCAAGTGCAATGACTTTAAATCAAACAATTTCAAAAGAAATGCATCATATTATTCTGGAAAACCAAAAAACGGGGTTGTAAGGAGAAAAACAGTACTTTCACAATGTTAATGCAAGTTCTGAACTTTGCTTTTATATTTTCTCATGGGTACGAATGTAACTGTAAAACAAAAAGAATGTTTAAGTCCCATAAGAAATACCTGTATGGCTAAATTATAGTCATACCTTTATGATGCAAATATCTGGGAAATGTGACATGGAGTTGAAAAGATGTGACAATTACCTACCTCAGAGAATGTCTGCGTATCTACCTGGTGGCCATCGTGCAAGTGTATTGCTGTTCTTGAAATAGCCTTCAAGAAAAAATCAACTAAAAAAGTTTAAGACAGTGTCTGTTATTGGTAATGCAGCTACTTGATGCAGGTGGAATTTGACTTGCAACGTCTGTTTCTCGTGCCAATGTTGCAGGATTTTTTTACGACTGTCAACCGTGCAGGATTCTTTTTCTTGCGTAATGCGTTTTTTTTTTAGTGGTATCTCCTCCCTTTCAGTTGCTATTAACAAGAAAAAGGGTAAGGTATAGTTATGAACATGATGAATCGTATTTAGGGTGAAAAAGTTGTTTCTTACAATCGTTTACTCTTTTTGTAAGACTGGTCCTATTTAACTTTATTCATTTAAATACTTGCACATAACGAGTCACCTGGCAGGTGGGGTTCATGAATGAGATTGCCCTCTTCTGTGGGCACTTTTTTCTTTTCTGTGGTACCTGTAATTGGACATGACTGTTGATCAGATGGTGGTATCTAAAGGATTTCAAAAAAGTCAGTCTTGCCTGGTATTAAGCAGGTATCAGTGTTTAGATGGAGAGGAACGTGGCTATAGGTGTTACATTTGAACACTTCCTTTGTCCCGTCGCTGGGAATTTTGCCTCAAACTGTAATTTTGTTAACCCCAGTCCCAAGGGTCTGGAATTTGACCAAAACAGTTCCTGTTGCACCTATGCGCATACCCCCCTCTTTGTCCAAACATGATACTTGTATAAGATTCAGGTACATGTACAGTTGGTAACAAAAAATGTTTATATTGTTTTTGTTAAATTTGATTAAAATCCGCCAAAACAAGTTCCTTCATTTTAAAATTGGTAAGCGAGTACAAATGTGTATTGTTTCTATTGACTCAGTTGTGAGAACGAAAAGTACATCCAAAGTCCACACTCTTTTTTCTTTATGGAGCATGTATTATGCCACAAAATGTAACATTAATGCAGTGTAACAAATTTGAATTGTGAAATGTGACATTAACCCAAGATGTTACAACTTTTGATGCAAAAGGAAACAATATTTTTAACTCGAAATGTAAAAAGCAAAATGTTGAAGCCTTTGGCATAAGCGTTGTTTATAAAATATAAATTGTCCAGTGGTTACAAAAACAGATTAATTATATATTTTTATTTACATTGTGGTAATTTCTTCCTACTTTGGTAAATGCAATCACTTATATCATGCTTTTTTTTTACGAGGCTGTGATAGCCATTTTCTCATTCTCTACTCCCCTTACAAAGAAAAGTGAGTGTCTCTATTCTCCTTGATTTTCTCATTTAATGTACGTGAGGAAGAATCCATTGGATTTTTCTTTTAAAGACTGAACATTTGGTTCGTGAAAGTTAGTGCCTTCAATGTTTGCCTTAGTCACCCCAACATTCCTTTCGAATATAAACTCCGCATTTTCGTCTGCTTTATCTTCTGTTAAGGCCAACTGAAGGATCCTTGGTCCTCTTTTAGAAAGTTTGTCCTGGCCTGTTTGGACAGGATCTTTTCCACCTTGCTGATGTGAAAGCCGCTGTTTTATGCCATGGTAAGACACTCATCTGCTTTAATGTCCTTTTGGTCATAACTAAATACAAATGAAGGCATGTCTAAATAAGTGGGAAATGGCTTAATGTTAGAGTATTATGAACAAGTGTAACTGTTTTTTACCCTTGCACATCCTGGTGCTTATACGTAGCGTATTCTACTTTTTACTTCAGCGGAGCGCGAAGTAAAGGATTCGCGACGCTCAGGAATGTATCAAAGTTGCAATTTTTTGGGCAAGCAAAGTCTGTAGGTTTTCGGCTCTATTCGACTATTTGACGAAGTGAG